AACACTTAATGTCTGGTCCCTCGGGAAATTAGTTAGTTTTGTTTTCCCTCGGGACTAGTTCTTAATTGCTATATAACAAAAAAATTAATGTCGGGTCCCTCGGGAAATTAGTTAGTTTTGTTTTCTCTCGGGACTAGTTCTTAATTGCTATATAACAAAACACTTAATGTCTGGTCCCTCGGGAAATTAGTTAGTTTTGTTTTCCCTATGTTAACTATGACGTCTAATAATCATGAAAATGAATTGCAATAATAGATAATAGCAATAAATAAGCATCATAAGGTCCCTTATAAGGTCTTATAACGTCTTACAATCTGGACGAGCTAACGACGTGATGTTGTCATTGCAGTTGCAGTTTTTTTTTGTCAGATTGTATTGCGGGTTAATTTTACGAGTCCTTAAACATTGCTTTGTGCGTTTTTCAAATCTCTTTCGCCCCCCTCAACTAGCGATCTAATACGCTTAAAACATTACACTGATAAAGTCAATACAGACTTTACCCGTGGGTTTAAAAAAAAAAACACTTTGTATAGTTATCATTGATTTAATTAGACTAGATTGCCGTTTCACTCTACACATACCTATTTTAAAAAAGTCAGGAAAAAATAGAATGCTGAATCTTAAATTTGCCATTCAGCTACATTGTTTTAAACACGTAGTTTAATTAATGGATATACCGTATTTACTCGAGATAGTTTTCTCTCTTTTTATCTCAAGAAGAAAATAAAATAATTACACAGACTGAAAAAGCATAGAAGCTGAAAGAGTGACGTCATTCTAGAGTGACCTTATTGTAGGATGTTGATTCCAAGTCAGATTATTGGTCTTTGAGTTTATTACATTTTGTGTCAACATTTATTACATTTTGCGTTAATATAGTTATTACATTTTGTGTCAAATTTTATTACATTTTGTGTTAATAAAGTTTTTACATTTTGTGTCAAATTTTATTACATTTTGTGTTAGCAACTTTGTTACATTTTGTGTCAGTTTTTATTACATTTTGTGTCAGTATTAAATTTTGTGTCAGTTTTTATTACATTTTGTGTCAGTATTACATTTTGTGACGTAACACCATGTCAAAGTAAGGTTACTTGACTGTCTTTTTATCCTAAAAAACTCCATAAAACACAATCTTCAGGTGAGTGACGTGCCACCAAGCATTTCCTATAAACATCACGCTTAAGATGTCACGCAACACAAACGTTTTAGGAATCAAAGCAAACGTGTCTTACGAAAAAGAGTCATGCAGCATAAATGACGATAAGGGCGTACCCGAGCATTTTTAAAAATAGGTCACGCTCTAACCATAGTCAATTAACTATGCTCTAACCAAATAAAAGTTACATCACGCGACAACAGAATATCTCCAAACAGGGTCACGCATCTGCACAAACATCATTAACATTTGCAGGGGCAAGAATGGAGCATCGAGGTCACGCGACTACTTCAACTTTCTCATGTTCCAAGAAAGTGACCAATTTTGCAATTATTTTCCTCAATGAAAAGGGCATTCCTCCTTTCTCTCTCAGTGTCAGTGAGAAGTCGATAGGGATTTTCAAAATTCCTTAAAAGCCGGCTATGAATCTTAGGCCCTGGCTAAACGAGGAAACATGTTTCCAGACTATGTTTACCGCGCGCATGTTTCCTCGATGTTTCCCAGCCACATGCGAAACATTGCTGCGTGCAACAAATTTTGCTTCCAAGACGCAAAAAATGTTTTTGCTGTGCGGCAGAAGCATTTCATTTTTCCAAGAAGCATGGAAACATTGTTTCCCAATGTTTCCTCGTTTAGCCACGAAAGTCATCATTCCTAACGGCTCGTTAGTTAGCAACGCTCGCTCTAACTTGTCAAAACAAGATGACGGATGAGGAGGTGACGGAGGTGACGGCGGTAAACGATGTAAACAAGGAAAAGAAGAAGGAAAGACTATGGACAGATGAAGAAATAGAACGACATAACTAGCTACGAGGAAAGGAGATGTCTGTGGGATATAACATGCAATGAGTATAGCAACAGAGACCAAAAAGAATTGGAGTACGAAGGTGTAGAAGCCGAGTTGAAAGAGTTCAACATGCGCTAACTGATGTTTGAGTAAACATGTTTCCCGATGTTTCCTGGCAGTTTTGCCACCTTAGGAAACATTTAGGGAAATATGTTTCCTCGTTTAGCCAAGGCCTTTTAGTCTCAGACGGTTTCTCACAACAACTTAGCCACACTTTGCTCAGTTTTGCAATTTACGTTTGTTTTATTTCTGCCTTCAATTTTAACATCATAATGAAGTATTTTTTGAAATGGCTGAACTATATTACATGATTATGATAAAGGAAGACAAAATGACCCGAAAGCCAAAGAGCGTACGTACGTATTCACTAGCGCCACAGATATATCAAGACAAGTGCTCGATTATCATTGCTCAATAAGCAGATGTTTCACCCTCATTATCGGTGTAAAGTAATATTTTTTACCGAAAAAACGTATCAATACTTAGGGTTGGTTTCTGTTGTGTTTTAACGTGTTATATGTATAACTTATTTTTAAAGATAGCAGTTAAAGCAAGCTTAGAAAGGCGAATGGAGAAGTATGAACTAACCAAAAAACTGCAAACCTTAATAAATGTTATATTCTTTTCAAGAGCACACAACTGATCAGATACAACTGATCATGAATGACAACAGGAAAGAAAAGGGATATAAAAAGACAGTAATTTCAGAGTATTCTCTCAAGCAGAGTTTCAAAAAAAACTAGAACCGTGAATATTGTGCATCACTTTTTTTCATTTTTCATTACACTTGGACGTCAAAAACGTAGAGATGTGACAATATGTATGTTGAAATACCTACGCGATGCAGAAAAAATGTTAGATGTCATTGGTTTGTGTCATGAATRCTRAAACCACCCATTATGAATTCTGCACRAGGTATTTGAATTGAACGTCAGAGAGTGTTTTTATCACATAGCATCATCTTTTCTCGGTCTGCAAAGCTCAAAGGGGGCAAAAACACGTACGAATTTTGGCTTAATGACGACAGATAAACATTCTTGTTGAATAATAATTCATCTCTAGTTTTTTATCTTTTCAAGTCATAGTGGATGATTCTCATTTGAAATGGTTTGTCGACTATGGTGTCTTCTATTTGACTAATGTGTTCTATTCTATTGATTCGTCCCAGTACTGTTGTTGGCAAACGTATGATTCCTAGTCGTCTTGCCGATAGCACACAGCACTATAAAGCGATTGAATTTTAAGGCTGTTATTCCGCTTATATTTTGGAGAAAAATAGGAAAGTTCTGCGTAAGTGAAGGCCTTTTTGCCAGCATTATTTTGCCGCTCGTAGAAAATAACGGACAAAAGGCCAACGTTGTGAGTATTCGAGTCTATATTTTTGGTACCATTTAGAAAACATTTGGCAAAGGATAACACTGGACAGAGACGATCTTAAAACTGCTGTAATCTAGATACCGTTTGTATCTATGAGAACGAAAGAGCCATCTGTTTTAAATGCTTACAACTTCAAAACACGGGTCATTGTCTTGAGGATCATTTCTCATTTCTTTGTTGTCCGATAACGTTCGAAATGATACAACAATATTTATGTAATTCTATCGAATATTCTTGATTCAAAGGAATGAAAAAGGAAAACAAACAGAAAGGTCTCTCCAACGAGGTGGCCCTCGAACAGTTGTGCATACAGCGACACAATCTCGTCCGATTGGTCTCTAGCTCTTCACTGAGTTTAGACTCCCTTTCCCATTGAATATAATTACTTTCTTTAACGACAATGAGTTCACCCATGAGACAGAAATAACTCAACATTTTTGCATAAAAATAAATTTTAATTTTCAAAAGAAAAAATGTTGAAATTGAGAGATTGTTTTGTCTTTCAACATGACGGCCGTGAGAACTGGCGGAGTCCAACTCTATCAATTTGTTTGCCAGCTATTTACGTATGTTAATAGTTAAAACTAGGGATTCACTGCCAATTTATCTTGGTATAAAGTTTCAAAGTGAGTTGATCCGTCATTGTGGAATATTTGCAAAATTCTCCTGAAGATTCTGAACACTACAGAATACGTATATTTTGTTCCCTAGAGGGACGGTAATCTTTTAAATTTTTGCTTGGAGCTGGACTTACTAAGACTTCGTCATGAGTTTAGATGAAATTTCCAGCTATATTTGAACAAAGTGACATTTTGATTGTTAAATTTGTACACCACTTTTGCTGACTTGTGTAAGTTTTTCCATCGCTTAAATTTTGCACTGTATATGATTAACAATGGATCGCAAGGTCCCTCGTAAAATCAAGGATGAATTTCACTTAAATTAAGTTTTCAGTTTTGAAATTGCCCGAGTCGCGAAATTATTCCTTGCTTTTACTCGGCCCCATGCGATTACCTACACAAATCAAAAGCTTGAGTCTTGAAATTAAGTTGTCATTCTCAAGAATTTCTTGTGTGTCACTGATGGATGGAATGGGCAATACTTGCGGAAATCTCAACGAAATCCCAACTAAAGTATGGAGATCGTTGCATGCATGATGCATTGATGCATGGTGCGGTAGATGCCCTGCGCTTTGACCTATCACCATCTACAGGGTGTAGAACCAACGCTCCTTGCGTGCAAAAACCATGTTGAAAGGCACGATTTTCTTGCGATGACAGAAGTCGATTTCACATGACTTGCACACCTTAGCATCTTTGGGCAAGAACATCAAGACAAAGGGGTTGTCATTGCGGTGTATTGCTTTATATGGCTGGCTTTCTTTGGGAGCCACCTCTTTTAAATTTTCTTTCTGGCCTAAAGGAGTATGCTGTTTGCAGTTTGCTTGTTAATGTCGAGTTCTGCGAGGGAAGTACGACCTTTTCCGCCTTTCTTGAATTTCTTCTTAAGGAAATCGAAGTGGGCAGGGTTGCGTGGTTGCGTTACACTGTCACAAGCACAAACCCTTTTTTGCGCTCTGACTGCATGGCTACCTCGAATTTCAGATTCCTACTCGTTGAAAGTGAAGCTTTTCTTGGATGGCTTTCGGGTGATTGGTTAAGTTGAGCACTTCTCTCTTCAATACTGTGGCGTTGTAATTTTAGTACCCGAAATGGACAGCTAGGACATTTTTAGACGTCAGGCTATACGTCTTTGAGTTCTTTGCGTTCTCCATTTGTATCTAGAATCGGCCAAGGTACCTCCTTCTGCTCGAATATTTCTTCCATTGACAGTTTCTGCCGCGTTCAATACAATTGGTCCTCATGTCAGGTGACCATTCAAACCAGATGTTCCCAGGTATCTGTAAATACTTGCTACAGTCAGCCAGCTCGTATTCATCGCTTACGCCAGCCACTGCTGCCTGTAGCTCTTCCATGTGATGGTCGTGTATTGCTTTGAACACTTGTCGTGTAAATTCAAGCTGGCTCAAATGCGTTGTACCACTCTGATTAAGAAACTTTTTTCTTGCTGCTTTCATAACATTGTTCATGGATTCCGAACAGTTTGTGTAACACCTTGTTGGTTTTCCCGCTTCCTTTCCATCAAGAAGCCCAGCCTTCCTTCTGACTTTATCGACCATGTGATTCTTCATCATTTTTCGGTTATTATTCAAGTAAGACCAGTACTTGGGTGAGTAGTTGCTGTCTTTTCCAAGAATCTGGATTTCTTGTCTTTTCAAATTCTCTTTTGTCGACTTCAAACGCTTGCGCAAGTCCTTCCCGTCTGTCGCATCCAGCAGAATGCCTTCATCTTTCCCTCGCACACCTCGTTTTGTATATTTCCTGAGGTACTATACAAAACGAAGACCCCGCCGAAAACCATGTAACTTGCAAATTTAGATTTTGAGGTGGAATTGAATACTCGTCGCTCTTTCAGCGCTGTTTTGGGGTAAATTTGGGGGGNGGGGGTTCGTCAGTTTAGGGTATTTGGTCTTTGATCTTCGTTTTGTACCACCCGCATATAGTAACGCAACTCTACAAAATACAGCTCAGTTCAGTGATCTATAAAAAGCTCACAAAATCGTTAAAGTTAGGATATTTAGTAAATTCAAAATCAAAACTACTCTCTAATCGCAAAACTATGGACCGCACAAAATTATGTGTCTCGAAGTGTACTAGGTAGAGCCCCCAAACGAGCGTTTTTAAGGCTTTTTCGTATTAAAAAAAAACACTTCAAGACACATAATAAACTATTAATCTTTATATCCAAATATGTGTTTTGAATACCGACTACTAAACTTAGAGATTTTAAAGCAGAATTTGAACTCTATCGAAAAACGCGTGTCTGTGCCACAGGGATCCCTAACCAGTGAAATGTGAAACCAGCCTGAGTGACTTTGTCGCGTGATGTTTGTTCTGATTAAATTCCTTCGTCGTCGAAAACTGCTCGAGGAAAAAAAGCTTTCGATTTGCACGAGTGAATTTAATTCCAGGTAGCCATATTTTAGTGATAATTTTAGTGATACTCCTAAATGTATTTTCTTTCATGTCTAGCGAAAGTTTTTAATAGTGAACAGTGAGCTGAAATGGTTTCTATTTTCCTCAAGCTGAGCTAACAATTAACATGTATTTCCGCCTTGATGTAGTGTGTTTTCACTTCTAGAATACCGAAGAAAACCAACCAAGTCATCTAGTTAGAGGTGCCTAAAGTTAAACTGAACACCTTGGAGTGAATAAAGGTAATTTATGACTGGGTTAAATAGCTGCTAGAGCTATTTTATAGAGTGCCTGTTCAATATGGCTGTAGCGTGAAAAAGTGAGTCGACTGTATTCGCAAGCTATAATTTAATAAGCAGCAGAATTCCGAAACAACATTAAATTGTTGGTAATATGTTAATGTAGATATATATCATTGTAAAATCGAATTCAAAAACGTATTATAAAAAATAAAATTTGGGTTGGGAGTTGAGTAATAATAACATTGAATTAATTCTCTTGTCATTGCAATCATTGCAGTATACATTATGGGGAACCTTTCAGTTTACTTTAATTAACCAGAGTATGCAGTTTTATTCGCGAAACACTTTGCCAAAATGCATTTCAAACCCAAGATGAATCTTGTTATTATTCGGGCTAGAGTTGCCGTAAGTTCAGATACGTGTCATGCATTACTGCACGTCTGAGATAAGCATTGCAACTGATATCAAACAACGTTTTCACCAAATAGCTCTGCATCAAAAAAATATCGACTAACTTCCTTTTGACGGTGTTCTTTATCGTTTTTAGACAAAAGGTAGAGAGTCCAAATTTGAGTTGTGCATATGCATAATGTCCATTTTATGTTAGACTTGTTTTATTATGTTTAAACCTATCTTATTCTAACGACGTCATGGGGTCAGAGGGCGGGAGTGTTGGCAGAATACTCCGCAATTATTTTGAAGCCAAAGTTAAGACATCATCACAAATCGATCAGAATCCAAAAGCCAAAGGTACATAATGAGGGTGTAGGTTCACAATAAAAACAACAACTTTCTTTGAATATTTATTTGTTTGTCATAAAAACTGCTAGTGCTCATAGTCTTATTGCTCACGTTCGAAGTGCTTACGTATTTTAGTTCAAATTTGATTAGGTTTTCGCAAAAAAAGAAATGGTTACTTTTCATGGCTTTATTTTTTAAGCAATCCTTTCGTAATCCTTTCGTTAAGTAATCCTTTCGCAAAATGCATATTTGGTGTAGTTACTAAAACCCGGAACGACCCACAACGACCCAAAACCAGCCACACAACGACCCAAAACCAGCCACAACGATCCAAAACCAGCCACACAACGACCCAAAACCAGCCACACAACGACCCAAAACCAGCCACACAACGACCCAAAACCAGCCACAACGATCCAAAACCAGCCACACAAAGATCCAAAACCTGCCACAACGATCCAAAACCAGCCACAACGATCCAACACCAGCCACACAACGACCCAAAACCAGCCACAACGATCCAAAACCAGCCACACAACGACCCAAAACCAGCCACAACGATCCAAAACCAGCCACACAACGACCCAAAACCAGCCACAACGACCCAAAACCAGCCACACAACGACCCAAAACCAGCCACAACGACCCAAAACCAGCCACACAACGACCCAAAACCATGCAGGCATGCACAACGATTCAAAACCCAGCCACAAATGTCCATCAGATAGCAATTTTGTAATTTAAATCTTTATTTTACGAGGGTAGCATAATTAATCTATTAGTGATCTAACTTATTGCCTTCGAAAAACGAAAAGTAAGATTACAAAACTTGAAGTATATATTTAAAAAAAAACTATACGATGTAACAATAAACAAACTAAAATAACTAGGCAGATAATGGACATAATATAGATTAGTATAATGATGATAACTTACCTAGTGACACATTTACTGTTTATGAGATTAGAGCAGCGTGCGTAGAGCAGGTCTCTGATCTACCGAGTTTAGTTTGTCAAGGAAAAGAGAGCGTATCTGACTTTTTAGAGAAGGAGTAAAAACAAAGACCTTGGTAGGTCGAGAGGACGTCAAAGTTTGCTTTTGATCAGGATGCAAAGAATTGAAAAGGATAGAAGCTATAAGACCACTATTTGTTCGAGCTTTAGACAGTGACCAGAAGATCAGTTGTGCAAGCTCTAGTATGTGGTATACGGTATAAAGCCTTGGGTTCGATTCCAGGCCCGTAGGCTAGTGGGCATGGCCGATCTTTCAGGTCAAATGGAGTTTGAAAAAAAGTTGGAAAAAGGTATTCTAAGCTATTTTAAATTTGAACAACAAGTAGTGGTAGAGATGTAGCAAGTTAAATAAAGTCAATAGCTGATTTTCAGGCTTTCCTCTGATCATTTACTCTCGTATTAAGACGCCTCGAAACTTCCGTCCACAGGACCATTTTCGACATGGTTTAATTTTCGATTGCTTTAAATTCGTCCAAATGTAAGCGATGCAGCTGTTTGATATATTTAATGTATGTATACGATTATAATATTTACGAAGAAAATACAATGGTGTGATTGTAAAAAGAAAATTCCGTATGTTATGAGAGAGAAAATAATCGTTTTTACAGATTAATTAAGCAAGACATAAGTTTTCTAATTACCACTGCTTATCTCTAAGTCCATTAGCTATATAAAAACATCGATATAACATTTCAGCATGGCTACCATCACGCACAAGTTTAGATAATGGTATGCAGTAAATTCACAAGTAAACCTCTTTTAAGAGGTTAAAAAAAAGAGCTTAAAAGCTCTTCCCATTAGCATTTGTACCTCCGGTTACACCCTACACACTTTCTACTCCTTTGCTCAGTTATTCATTAGCACTATTCTTTTGAATCTTATAATAAAAGTATTCCTCGTAGCCTTTTCTATACATTTACAATATATTCATATATTAACTTTAGTTTAAGCTGATGTTTAATTCCAAGATTTTCACTCGTATTACTCGTTATTAAGATATCACGCTCAGGAATTTACTATTTCTTTTAGCCAATCATGATTCAACTATATATATTATCACCTTGATTAGAGACTGACACCTGTCATAGAATTATTATAAATACAGCTCATGTAATTAGTTCAATACAGAAAGTAGAACTAGTCGTTGCAAATTGCAAGTAAAATGCTGCGAGTAGTTACGGGACAACGGTGATCTGACACTCAGTGAGACCCTCAATGGGCGATTGGTTTGATATAGTAGTTTTCTCAATGGGCGATTGGTTTGATATAGTAGTTTCCTCAATGGGCGATTGGTTTGATAT